CTTTACTCCCTTGGCCGAAATTTAGAGGCTTTATTGCCTATTTTGTGAACAATCTTTAATTCTTGCTTGTCTTGTGAAGATGCCTTAGCTTTCTTTCCGGTTTTAGGATCACTTTAGACCTTTTTGCCAAATTTAAGGGAGTTTTCTCCCTTGAGCTGAATTTTGGGAATGTTTTGTACTTCCCTTGCTTGATTTATGCCACATGTCATTGATAACTTGTCCATTTATGATGGGTCATATGCCACGTGAAGCTTTGTAATGCATCATTTGTATGCAACGAAATTTACATGTCTATAAATTCTTTTGTCCTTCTCTATGTTGCTTATTGCAAATTCAAATTAAGGTAAAATTGCAATTTACCATCTCAATTTTGGGTTACGTAACAAATCATCTTCATCTTTCGAACATTGCAATGTCACATATCAACTTACCAATTCATTGCAATATCAAACCTCCATTACATAAACTGTTAAATTGATTGTTAAGTAATGACGTGACAAATTTGGGGTCCACATTTTTAGTGACGTGGATGCATCTTTCCAACTTGTGAATAAAAAATTTAATTAATAAATATAAAGGGTTGTTTTATACACCCCACATTTTGTTGATCACGCCCCACGTGCTTAATACACCCCCATCTACTTTTTAAATTAAAATTTATCTTAACACACTCAACTTACTTTTGTCATTTATCTTAATATACCCTCACACCCCATATTTCTTTTGTCAATTATCGAATTAGGGTTTCGTTTTCTATAGATTTTGGGGTTTTCTGTCAATTAGGCATCACTTTCCTTTCTTGTTGCGTAGTTGCATAATACCTTGAATTTACAGATCCTTTTCAGTCACATTGTCAGCAAAATAGTTGGAAATAGGATGATTGCAAGAGTTCCTTCGTCTTTCGATCAATTGGGTTGAGTCTATTAGATGATTACAGAAGTGTCATTAGGTGCGGAACATTAGGTTTCTCATCCACCATATTGGCTTCTTTAGTTTCATCTACGAGTTATATGGACAATTCAATAATCGTTACTATCTAGGATTGATGTTGTTGGACTGCCTCGTGATAATGTTTCTTAATGTTTGCAGATTTTCTCTTTTTAAATCTTATTAGGCTTAAATAATCATTTTACGAAAAGACATTTAAGTTATTTAATATAAAAATTTCATGGCGTGTATTAAACAATGTGTAGCCAAATTTGATAATAAGAAAATGATATGAAAATGCATCCATATAGTCATTTAGAAAAGTATGATTTTTAGAATATAACAAGGTCCAAAATTAAATTCCAACCTCAGCAGTTAAAATTCTTAAAAATCCAACTAGAAAATATAACAAAATCCAACGATTTCCAGTTGCAACCATATCTTCAGGGATATTCAACAATGCATCCCCCTCATAACTTTCCTAATTATACTTGGGAGCCTTAATATTAGCGTTACGCTTACCCCTGCTTGTCATGTTCAATCTGCACATGAAAAGCTATTAACATTGAGAATTTTCAAACTCCAAAAAAATCCCACTTGGATATTATCACCATCTAACCAAATCAACAATCTTTTTGTCATTCCACTGCCAAGACGTTGACAAAATGATGTACCTTGATCCTAGTACAGTATTTCCAACGAGCTAGCAGCCGTAATTCGTGAGTTTTCGGTTTCGAGCCATCCATGGTTCCAAAAACCAAACATATCCAACATTTGATTTTTGCATACGATGTTATATGTTATGAATCATGAGGGCAGATGGGATGTAGGTGGACGATAATACAACTTTAAAGTCAAGAAAGATACACTATATCAATACATAGAGACCTCAATATTTAGCCCAGCCTGTATCAGGGCAGCACAAAGCATCTTACTTTTTCCCCATACTCTATTAGAATTTACATTATCTAAAGAGGGAAAACATACAAAGCCATTCCTTTATCCCATACCATAGGGAACTCAGTGGAACTTCTATTAAATGTGATGTTCTGTTAAACTATTAGTAGACATAATACTCCCAATACTCCCAACACCATGTACATTGATAAGTGAATCAATATTCGACTAATATAAGAGCATCCAAAAAACAATTCAGCAAAATCAGAAAGCACAAAAAGGATCACAAGAGCAAAAAAAAGGATCACAAGAGCAAAAAAAGGATACAGTCGAGAAACCAAACTATAAATTAACAGGAAAGCTAGCTTTGGGCCACTAAATATAGCTTATAAGTGTAAGAAAGTGAAATTTGGTACTTGGTGGAATATTCTGTAATTAAAAATTTAACTTTGCACAGTAGACTAGTCAAATGAGTTAGTCAACTAGTTACAAGTTAGTCAGAGATATAAAGTGCAGTTGCAAGAACAAATCTTTACTGACCAATATGTTCAAGTAATTAGAGTTTGCCATATTAGTTTCACTACAATAATTCCTAAACTTGAACACGTTTTCATATCAGTACATTATGCAAATAGATAAAGCAATTATGAATTAAAGTATGCTAAACTGACTAGTCAAGCTCACCAGTCAACTAAGTACAAATTCGTCAGTTAATCAAACACATATCTACGAATCATACTTGGTTCACTACAAGTTATCCTAGTCAACAACAATTCAGTTCATTACTCATAATATGCAATGTAACTTAGTCTCTAAAACATATCAAATAACAATTCATAGGATGCATAAAACATATGCAAGTAAATAAGATATGTGGACAAGTTTAAGAGACAAAGAATGAAAGAAGTTTTCGGCTGGAAAAACCCACCTCTGGGTTAAAAAACCGGGGACTCTCCACTGAGTCCAATCCACTAGTGTAAACAAGATTCTTACAAAGTACCACGCAAAACTCAATTCCTAGACCTAGTATACAGAAAAGCTTTACCTTTGTGCTACCTTGCCTTACATGAGACGGATTCCTTCGGTCTTCACGAAGTGGCAGCTCCTCCTAAGCTCTTAACCTTGTGGCACCAAAATAATTTTGTCTCCAATCTTCACAAGATATCAGCTCCTCCTGAACTCTTCACCTTGTGGCATTGAGACCAACACACAAACTATGCATATGATGATATGGCAATGGTATGCAGATCTGGATTTAAATGTCTAGTCAGTTTCACCAGTTAAATACTTGAAAGCTGAAACTGACGCGAATCCAAAAAGAGGTAAGTTCAAGGATTTGAAACTTGAAAAACTTGACCTAAAACATAAATCAAAATCATAAAAACAATGCTACCCCTAATATGCAATGATGTGGGTATTTGGTGCATGAGTGTGATTTTGTGGCTAGGGTTTTCGAGTAAGAACATAAGAGGTAGCTCCAAGCTAAAGCAATTTTTTTTTTTAAAGTGTAAATATCCTAGCCAAAACAAATGAGCATATAAACAAGATTTAAGCAAGCAATGTAAAAAATATTCGATGAAAAACATTTGCCCATAAAATATGCTTGATACTCCTAGGGGATCTGAGATAGAGAAGAAAAAGTAAAGCTCTCAAAATATTCAAATCTCAGTCCCAAAGAACAAATGAACCCTAGATGGACAATTTACAGAGGGCTTGAAAAACCATTTTCGGAAAAAAGGGGTACCAAAAAGCCACGTGTCGAGTACAAAACAATCTGGAAAGATCTAGGGTTGAAAAACCATTTTCGGAAAAAAGCTGTCAGATGGACCATATGGGTTGTCTTAAAGTGTGTACCCAACATGCGTGAAAGCATTGAAAAGTTTTGACGAGACAGAACAACTAGACAAAATGAATTGAAAATAATAGCGTGAAATGCATGTGAATAAATAAACCTTTGATATGAGAAGTTAAGCTATTAAAATGATATTTCCAGGATCAAGATTCCAATGTAGCATTTTAACCCTAAAACTAACTAGAGCATGGTGGTAGAATTTACAATATTTGACAAGGGAAGCCAAACAATAAATCTAGACTTCATAGAAAGTCTAATATGCTATTAAGGGAAGTAATATTAACCTCAAGCATATAATCCAAAATAATGTATATTAATGTCATAAGATATACGTGTAGTTTAGGTATCTATCTCTAGGTATCTATTGTAATGTACCAACCTAGGAATGAACAAAACCTAAGAGAAATGCACGCATTAACAGTTATGGGACTTTCTAAATGCTCTTTTAGTAACACATCCACAAAACTGATTTCAAACTATAACTTGCCTCCCAAACAATCACTAAATGTTGTATATCAAAGTTCAAAAGATGAACAACTAAGAAGAATCAATAAACCTGGTGGGACATTTGGATAGTAATAGAAACAAAAGTCAAATGTTCATACATATAGAATGTAACCAGACAAGTTAAATTACATAAAAGTAGACGAAGGAAAATTAAACCTCAATACTCATTTTCTTTAAGCATGGTATTGCAATTCTTTTCTGTGTTTACTACTAGAACCAATTAATAGAACATTAGCATAGCAAGCTTAAGCTTCTTGTGTGATAATATTTAGCTACTAGATGGCTTGTGCATTTTTAGCATTTGTTTCGGAGATCCATCCAATTGGTAGAATATGATATATTTCGACGCGTCGACATATTTTCCACCTATGAACACAACAGGAAGAACAGGATTGCAATCGAGGTTTCTCACTGCCCAGCCCATGTCCAACAATTCATGAAATCCCCAAAAATTTCTAAAGCACCATCTTTTGTACCAACATTGAATTGGAAAAGTATAGAACGTACAAAATAAAAAATAAATATCCAATAATAATTAACGAACTTAATACTCAAACAAGCATATTTTAGGCTAACTTTAGACAACTTTTCGGTTAAATCCCTAGATTCAAAAAAATCAATGTACCCATGTTTCAAATTCGAAGAGGGAAGGGAGAAGAGAGACTTATCTTGAACAAACAAGAGGAAATTGCATAAAAATTGCAAAAAAGAGGGAAATCAGATGCTTGTAACGACCCTCGATGCTACTTCGACGACTGCGCAAAACTCACACCCACCCCCGTTGTATGACCCAAATCGAAGCCGAACTCGCCGGCAAATGAAGAAGAAGAAGAAGAAGGCGCAGACGAAGAAGAATGGTCGGGAGATGGGACTTGTAACCCGTATGTGAGGATGGGTTACATAACCTGTCCTATTTTCTCTAATTTTAATTTGTTGCCAATCCAGTATATGTTAGAATTTTCTCACCAAACGTGGGTTGAGTTACATGTCAAACTTAATTAAAAATAATTTATCATGTCTGATCCACCAAACAGAGCCTCATTTCACGACTCACCAATAGGTTTAATGAAGGAATCATGAGCTTTACAAGAACAAGCTTTATTCAAATGGCGTCTTTCAATTTACAGATGGGGAACAACTTACATGAAAAATGTTTATCATTACAGTGATGTCCCGTTCCATAAAAGTCCATCACTTAAAATGGACTTGAAGTTTGTCTGTCTCAAAGAACAAAGAACCAATATAAGAACAAGGGCTCAATACGAGCAACTCCACTCTTAGTCTAGAAACAGTTTTTTTCTTCCAATGGTTTTGGATTAAAATTTTAGCCCAAAATTATAAAAAAATAATTTTAGCATAACTTTTTTTGGGTAACTTTTTTAGAAATAAACTTCATGTAGATTATCCTAATTTATTTTTATAAACATTTTAATCTAAAAATATTTAAATTCCGATAAATAATGAAAAATCACTAAACCTACCTCATTCTTACACATATGCACCACGTGAAAGAACATGAAAAACCACTCAACCCACCCCCACTCTTAAACACAGATACATAGTTGGGCAGAAAGAAAGAAAAAATGGAAGAATTTGTTTGACAAAAGTGAATTTATGTTGAATGTTTGAACAAATACATAGGTATATACAAAGTTTTTGGGTGAATTTTGATTCTTTTAATTGTTTTAGCTGTTAGATTTAATTTTTGGGTCCTTGGATTTTTTTTTTCCACCATTAGATTTGATTATATTCGATCTCAACCGTTGGATTTAATGTATTGCTTTGATTTTTTTTTTTTAAATTGAATTTGGATAGTTGGTTCAACCAACAGTCCAACCAGAAGGACCATCGAAAAAAATAAATAAATAAACATTGGTCTTTCCACAAGTGGCCGACAGCGTCTGGGTTAAATTTGGCCCAAAAATAAGTTTTGTACCGAAACCCTTTTTCGTCCAATGATTGGAGAAGTTTTGGGCGAGTTTAAACTTAAATTTTGGGTTGTAACTCAACCATAGGAGTTAGGAGTTAGTTTAGAGCAATAATTGTCCAGGCCAATGGGCAATAGGCAATTATTATCTTAGTGAATATTAATTGCCTGAGTGTATCCACCTTGTAAAATGAATTGCTCGAACAATTAGTATTAAAAACTATTTTTTTTAAATTAATAAAAAGTTTAATATTATTTTATTATTAAAATAACATTTTTTTTTCTAAACCTCTCCTCCTTCGGAAACCCTCGTTTTCTCTATCCCTCTTCTCCATCCACTCTGCCTTCCCCTCTCTCTCTCTCTCGACCTGATAGGAACATATTTATACGACTTTGTTATCCTATTTCTTTGCATTTACTTAGTTAATTTCCATTTATTTTGGTAATTTAAGTTATTTTCGTATTATTGAAGGTCCAGTTCGTAAAGATGACAATAAATGACAAAATAGAGCAATTTGGAGCAGTTTTGGATTTGGATTGGATAGCATGCGTGGATTGCATATGGCCTGGACATTTTTGGTGTTTAAATGGTGTTAGACATGTGCTAAAATCTGGAGAAATTAAAGTCGAGGCTTGGAAGGCAAGGAATTACACAAGAAAGAGGAATCCTAGTTGGAGAGGAACATTATCTTATCCTATCTTAACTAACCTTATCTTATCTTATCTCTAGCTGTAAGGAGGAATCCTAAATCACATTCCAACACTTTCTACATAATTCTTAGAGTCCTAAAATAATTCAAAATGTCAAAACCCCTTCCTCATTGGATTCAGCCGTTCCCTCTCTATATATATGAAATTAATTTTCAGAGTTCTTTCTATCTTTGTTTTAAGTTTCAATCTTTATCTTAGATTGTTTTTCAGTTATGATGAACATGTGTAACTAAGTTTCTTTTTAGCTAGAGGTGAATTTGAAGCCATGATCTTATGTTTTATATAAATTGATTACATCCAGTTATTGTTTCTTAAAACATGAATGTGATTTACTTATCTGCTTTATAGATAACTTATTTTTCTATGTTTATTAAGGGTGCACACTTAGTTTGCATGCAGAGATTTGATGCTAGAATATAAGAGATTTTTACCTAATCGTTATGAACTTATATGTGTAAGTAGTAAAAGTCACTAGTCATGATTGAGTTAAGTAAATTCTTGGCAGGAGTATCATGCTTTTCATAGTTAATAATGTTTTGTCAATGCTTATGATTTTCACAGAACTTAATGATCTTTGAGATGTATCTCTATCATGCCTTTCATAGTTAGGGAACTTGAGAAGAATAATTTGGTTGCGTCGCTGAGTCTAATTCAATAAACTTAGGAAAATCTGAGAGTTAATTAGTGTTGTTCACAATTAATTTAGGGCATTGTCATTCATGGTTTATATGAAGAATAACTGGAAATCGATTTGTATGCATATGATTCATGTGTGGAGAATAATCATTTAGCTATCCTTTCATCTATATTTCATTCACAACTTAATTTACTTTCTGTCATTTACTTAATTCATCCAAAATCCCCCCAGTCATTGTTTTGATGTTAGTTTTGACTTAGTTTTCAGTTTTATAAATTTAATTTGTGTTGATTAGCATCCCTTCTAATCCCCGGAATAGAATGATCTCTACTTACTCATACTACGATTGCATAATATATAGGGTTTAATTTGTGTGTTAGTTTTTACTGCATCACGACCTTTCTCGAAACCTTTCTTTACTGTATCACGACCCCTCTCGAAACCTCTCTCTTGACGTATCAAGAATGAGCTCTAAGACCTCTCTAGCCTCGACCGCCTCTTATCTCTAATTCAATTCGTTCGTCAAAGCCATAAGTGGGTTTTGCAAGGATCCTCTGGAGCTAATTTGTGCGACGTTGCAATTGGATTCGCTATTGGACTTTAGATTTTCTCTTTTTCCCTCACTTATTTTTCTGCTTTTGGTTTCGTTTCAATGTGTTTGGATGTCAAGAAATTGCATGAGAAAATCGGAGAGGTGGTTATGTTGGGAAATTTATTGGTTAGTTTTGTCGTTGAACAATATGGTGTCAAGCCTGAGCGGGAATATGAGTAAGAAGGAGTCCATCAGTGACGAGAACGAGGTTTGATCACATGGCTCACGCCAAGATGTCAGATGACACTAAAAAAAAGGTCGGGCCTGACCCAAATTTGAAAGAACAGGACTGGAACCAGTTAAAAATGAAATAGGGTAGGCCGAGCCGGGTTCTAAGATTTCTAAATTTGAAACTGAACCATGGGTCCAATTACAATTTTTTTTTTGGTGGGTAAGCACAGATATGAGTCATGGGCCGACCTTTTCCTCAACGTCTAAACTCATCTTTGAGCTAGAACACAGCCTCTTGCATAAGAAAACCTAAGGACACATGATGCCGACGAACTTGTCGTCGACCATGGGAGTCTAACCTTGGATCTTGGCGATGAGATCGTCAATTGAGTCAAGAGCGCTTGGAATCAGCCAAGTCGGACCAGATTAGGTGATCATCAGTAGAGTTGGAGCCTCGCACCCACTGTCTTCTCCGATTTGCAACAAGGCATCTTTGTCTTCTCCAATCAGCAACAAGCCACCCTCATCTTCTTTAATCTATAACAAGCCATCTTCGTGATGTCGTAACTTATATGGTGGCTACTGTGATGTTGAAGTAGTCAATTTAAGGGGTGGGAGTGAGAAAGAGAATGAGAAAGCTGAGAAACGGAGAAAGTGGGGGAGACTGGGAATGGGGGAGTGGATTGAACAATAGAACGATACCACGTATGGTAGAAATGGGTTGGTCTGAGGTACCGTGATTCTAAACTATGGAACCACCTCGTCTCAATAAATACCCTTTACCCACCGCGCCCTGCCCCACCCCATTTTTTCTCTATCAAATTTTGGCCCCGCTTCAAACCTGCCCTGAATTGAGATTACCCGCCCCGCCCCACGGGTTCTATACCCATTTGCCCATCCCTAGTTTTTTTTCCATATTTTGGGCAATAATTGCCCATTTGACCGACCAAAATGCATGGGCTGGACTTGCTCTAACCCCCACACTTTCGGAGCCCAACCTGGAGGTCTTACATCCCTTCTTCTCCCTTTCATCCTAAAACCCTCACTCTGTCACTCACGGACACAGGAACCACCAACCTTAAATTTTCTTCTTCCAACTCCAAAATGCAAACAATGAAATGACAGAACCCATTTCTCATTTCCTTCCCAAAAACCTTCCCTAATTCTCAGCCCAACCACCATGAGACCCATTTCTCCAAAAACCCTCTACCGCCTATCCTCCTCTTCGCCATCCGCTCCTCCTTTTCTCCTTCAGATTTCTCACCTTGATAGGAGCATATTTATGTGACTTAGTTGGCTTGTTCTTAAGCATTTATGTTGTTTTTCTTTAGTTATTTTAGTGTTTAAAGTCATTTTCGTGCAATTTCAGGTTTAGAGATGAAGTATGCAAAGAAGTGCAAAATGGAGCATTTTAGAGCAAAATTGAGCTAGAATGGAGTGTATGCTAATGGAGCACAAGGAATGGACGAGTTTGAAGGTCAAAGGAGCTTAAGAAATGAAGAAATGAAAGTGAAGAACAAAGAATTCAGATTTGGAAACCAAAGTTTCTAAAGTTGGAAGTTTCTATTCTTGGAGGTTTCCATTTTCGAGAGTTTCTATTCTTGGTTTTGGGCTTTTAGATGACCTAAACCCTAATTCCTTGTGGACCCTAACCCTAGCCGCACCTAGGCCTCTAGAATATCTGATTTCCTTGCCTTGCAAGGCATTCTAGAAGGCCCATCTCTAAACCCTAACCCTAGCCGCACCTTAGGCCTTATTCCCACTAAAAATCTGATTGTTTTAACCTAATTTCTGGTGGATTTGGGCTTCTAGAAACCCTAATCTGATTACCCTAGGGTTTTGGATGCCTATATATACTCATTATAACCCCTAGATCAGATCACCACCTCTCATACACAATCATTCACGCCAGAAATCTGCCCTTGCATTCTGCCGCACCTTCCCATCACCAAAATCCCAAAATTCTGCCCAAAAATCATCCCTAGCCGTACCCCCATCAACCCTAAACCTTTCCCTACCATTCCCCATCCATTCTACACCCTAAATACCACCCAAAACCTGTTCTAAACTTCTATGCCGCAGCAAGGAGGAAAGGGAAATCATTGATGATCTTGCTGCCAAGTTGGAGCCTTCTAGGTGTTTTCTTTCTTTGGGTTTTAATTTCTAAATTTATGTATCTTTGCTTTGCGAGTATGAGGAACTAAACCCCTCTTGGCTAGGGGGGATTCGAAACCATGTTTACGCTTGCTATATGATTTGATTACTTCTAATTGGGTTTCATAAGTTGTGATTTCAATTTACTTATCTATGTGAATTAAAACTTATTCTTGTATGTTGATTGAGGGTCGACACTTAGTTTGCATGCATGAATTTGATGCTAGGATATAAGGGAATTTCACCTAATCGTTATGAACTTATATTCACAAGTAGTAAAGGTTGTTGATCACAATCGTGTTAAGTAAATTCTTGGCATAAGTTTCATGCAATTCATAGTTACGAGTGCCTCGTCAATACTTATGGTTTTCATAGAACTTAATGATTCTTGCTTGTATCTCTATTATGCAATCATGTAGGGGACTTGTGGGGAATGCTTTGGGTTGTCGTATGCAATCATCCAATTCAATAACGTTAGGAAAATCTGAAGGTTAATTTAAGCGGACCTAATTAACTTGGGGCGTTGAGAATTCATGGGTTATTGAAAAGCAATTGGAAATCGTTTTGAATGCAAGTATAACATGTGTGGAGATGAACCCCTTAGCTAGCTTTCTATCCATTCAATTCAATCAAATTCGTTTTAAAATCTGTTTTGATTTACAAGTTTATGTTTTGTTTTCAATTTCGTAAAAACCAAATCCCCCTTTGTTTTCAAGTGTCAAATTAGTTAGAGAGTGTGTTAGTTTGTGTTTTTAAGTGTTTTGAGTCAAGTTAAAACCTATTTTCGTCAAAATCTTGTTTAGAGTTCAAAACTGCCCAGAAAGTGGTTTTAAGGCAGTTTTGAGTGTTTGTTTGCTGTTTTGAGTCTTTTGGTTTGTTTTAGTGTTTTAAGTTATAGTTTTACATTCTTTGAGTCTAGTTTAGTGTTTTAAACTTTGTTTTTACGTTTTTGAGTCAGTTTTCAAGTGATTTAGCAATCCCTCCTAATCCCCGGCCTAGAACGATCCCTACTTACATACTTACTACAATTGATAAAAAGAGGATTAATTTGAGTGCCAGTTAATATCATATCACACCTCTCAACCTCTTCACCATCCCATCATTCGCACGCTCACTCTTCCTTCGGACGCCATGACGAGGAGGTTCGGGACGTCAGGGTTTCGGTTTGGTGGGACTTTGAAAACTGCAATTTGCCGGCTGGTGTAAACGTCTTCAAGGTAGCGAATGCAATCACTGCGGCGATCAGGGCCAATGGGATCAAAGGTCCTATCAAGATTACGGCTTTCGGGGACATGTTGCAGCTATCAAGGTTCAACCAGGAGGCATTGTCGTCCACCGGGTCAATCTGACGCCCGTTCCTCACGGTTTGCCTTGCTCTTTTCTTTTTATGTGTTTAATTGCATAGATACAATTGTATGGATGCTAATCCTCATAGATTTATGAACGTGAAATGCTGTAAATCTGTAGCTTTACCTCGTGAACGAAATTGGTTTGATGTGGGATGGTGATCAACTTGGTTAAGTTGATTAAGTAGGACTATACGTGTGAAGATTTTAGAGTCTATGGGCTGGCTAACAAAACTGAGATAATCAAGTTTGAGGGGTATGATTACCATTACATTGGATTAAGTGAAATTAACAAAAGGTACGTAGATGAAGATAGTCATGAAACAAGACTCGCTCATTAGTTCAATCCCTCGAAATATATATATATAGATTCAGTAACGCAAGGTGTATGTAACAGTTGCCTGACGTGTCTTATGATGGGAACTTCTTTCAATAGTTTGCTTTAATCACTTCTATTCAAGAAGGGGAAAGAAAGGCAACCTTAGTGCAACAAATAGAACCACCCTTAATGCAAAAACCAAAACGGCTAGGAGACTCTAAAGGTTATGAAATCAGAAGAACATTAAAGAGCAAAAGAAACAAAGATTTAGATATTATTATGAGCCTAACAATGCACAGATGTGGTGGTAACTTGGCTTTGCTAGACAAACCGGAGTAGTAACTTGCTTTGTTTTTTATGCTCACAGCAGGGGATACTTAATTAAGTAAATAGATGTTGGCCTTCTGTTTGTATGCATGAAGCGTCCTATGCTTGTTTTCTCAAGGGTTCTCTCTTAAATCCTTTTACATTCAAATGGGGATATTTAGTCACATTAAACTTAATCCACTTATAATTAGGTGTCACATTCTGAGTTCTATGAGATTGTTAACTACAATGTGGAAATTTAATAGAACTGACTGTCTCACAAAGACGTGTAACTTTTGTTCTATGTTGATTGTATCTATATAGAGGCGAACAAACATTGGTTCACCTAGGCTCAATCAATTCTGTACACACTCAATTGATTATGAAGGTTAACATTCCATTTTTCTAAGCTATTTAGAATTTCTAACAACTTTGAACTTGACACGTTCACACACATTTGTTAAACCTTATATTCACACTTCTTAATGTGTTTAACTGGATTCCACGTAATCCTACAGTCCTAGAAGTGACTTTAATCGATACTTACACTGCAGGCCTGAAAACCCTAAACTCAATCTAAAATCAGTTTGATAGAGACCTTTATTGTTGGAGTATTCTTTTAATTCTTCAATTGCACCAGCTTGCACTTCATTCCTATGTACTTCTTAATTGAAGAAAAGCACAGCAGTATCCATGTCCTTATATACTTCTTGCACTTCATAAATTGCCAATATGCTTTCCTAGTCCTGGCACCTACCATCTAAAATTGTCTTATTGAATAAATTATTTCCTGAAAGAGAGATGTTCCTCATTTTGAGTTTTTTTTTTTGACAATTTTTAAATTGTTATTAATTGAAAATGTTTAGTTATAAATTGCTAGGGAAATTTCATGCCTTAAAAATTTGATTCAATCTTCAACTCATTGCAAAATTTTCCACTTTGAATCGGGTTTTAAATATCTAATTTTTTGAATTGGTTTTCACTTTGGACCAATTCGAGCATTCTTGTCGGGATTGTTTATACCAGCCATTTGGTCTGTAAGTTAAGCTGTGCTGAGCCCCCATCAACTCAAGCTATTAATCGCACCCACTGTTGCACCCGTGCCGATGTTTCTTAACACCCACCTACACATATGAAATTAGTTTTTCTAAAGTCATCTGGTTTGCACTCGGTAGCTTTCTGTCCAAAAAGTGTCTTGATATTAGATGGTTTTCAAAAAGTATGACGGTTCCAGAAAGTGAATGATAGTGTCCTTATTAGAATTACATTGAATGTTCGATTTCGGTGATTGTTAAACGAAGGATGGAGCACAGGAGCACATTCACATAAAGTGACTGTGAAATGGTAAACAATGGAATTGGGAATTGTACCAAAGGTGATTGTACTTACACTGAGAGATTTCAGTTCTTGATGGTTGCCACTTCCAATATCAATAATTAAAAATATGCCGGATTTCAAATAAATTCCAGATGCTTAATACAGGTTACCAGTACTTTTCCATTCATATCCAATGACAAAAATTCTTATGCAAAACATATAAGTTTTTCACTCAGTGTTTTCTGTGCTATGTATTTTGTTCATTCTACTTTTATTTGTTGGGTTGGAGTGAGTTATTTCCTATTGGTTGTAAATGCCGTATTCGTTATAATTGGTTTATGTATTGTGCATCTTAATCTACCTTCTGTAGTACAGTTCATAACTGCTGATTTTTCTGTTTGAAATAAATTTTCAATCTCAATTGCGTTCAACATGTGGTGTTGCATGCATGTGTCTACACACATTCAAATATATTGTATCCTGACAAGATTATATTGCAAATGTTTTTGCTACTGCAGGTGTAAAAAACAGTGCTGATAGGTCTCTTCTTGTAGATCTTATGTATTGGGTTTCTCAAAATCCCCCACCAGCACACCTTTTTTTAATTTCTGGTGACAGGGATTTTGCTAGCGTTTTACACCGGTTAAGAATGAACAACTATATTGCTAGCAAGTCCAGAAAATGCTCCTGGTGTACTCTGCAGTGCTGCAAGTATTATGTGACCATGGCATGCTCTGCTTACAGGTGAAACCCTTGCTGGGAAGTATTATAACCAACCACCCTATGGTCCCTATGGTTCTTGGTATGGCTATTATGGTTCTTGGTATGGCTATTACAAGGCTCCGTACTCAATTATTGAGCAGCAGGCACTGTCACAGGCTGAAAAGTTGTCCGTGCCTCTGGTTCAGATTCTAAGCCTCGTCCAATTCCTTTTGCAGTCATGAAGCAAATTAATAAGATATTGAGGTCACATCCCAAAGGAATGCCAATTACAGAACTTCGCTCGGAGCTTGCAAAATTTAATTTGTATAGATAGAGATTTCTACAGATATAAAAAGTTTTCCCACTTTCTTTTAGCAATTCCACATATTTTAAAGCTCAAATCTTTAGGTGATGGAAACTTTCTTGTACATGGCATATCTACAGAACCTGTTAGTGATAATGGAGACCGGGATCTCAATTTAGCTTCACAGTTAGATTGTGAGGACAGATGTATTAATGTAAGTGTGAATAGGAAGCTGTCTGTAGCTACATCCCATGAACCAAATGTGGAAGAGCCTTGTGAAAAATTAGAACATCCTTCTAATGGTTCTTTTACTAGAGATTCAGATGGGAAGTCACAGTTGCCTCTTTCCCCAGAGAATGTGAAGTCTTCAACCAAGCCACAACAGCTTTCTCCCCTTGATGAAGAGTCAATATCCCCTTCTTCCGCTGAGAATATAAAGTGTTTGACCAAACCACAACAAACTTCTCCCCTTGATGAGAATTCGCTTTCCCTCCTTCCTCAAAGAATGTGAAGACTTGGGCACCCATTGATGAAAAGGTTGTTGACTGCATTTTCCTCCGGAAGTTGCACAAGATTCTCCATCTGAGGTGGGCTATTTTAAGAGGATTTGGAGAAATTGGTTTGGTGGTAGAGATAATGTTTCAGGGACTACAAGTCACAATGATCATGAAGAATTCTGCACGTCTGGTGATGATACTGAGAACAAAGGCCCTGACTCTCAGGTGAAACAGCATACTTGTGTTGATAATGCTGTAAGGTAAAAAAATGAGAAAGAGTTATGTGGCATCAATAATAAGTGAGGTTGTTGATCAAGCACCTCCAGCTTCATCTTCATCATCCCATGATGAATCAGCTAAGGAAAACAAAACTGCAACAACTTATCTGGCGTCCGGTAGTAAGTCTGAAACAAGTCCAGGGATATTTGATCATATAATAAGTTGGTGTAAATTCGGGAGAAGTAGCCCATGCTCTGATAAATTGAGCGATCAATCCTGTGATGCTGAACCTGATGAACGATCACTCTCAAGTGCACAAGCTCTTTTCAACAGATTCCTTTTGGGCTGACATGGAATCTTTTATGGACACACCTAAAGGATCAGTTATGTCTTCAAATCAAATACCAGGTTGCATTACTGCATGTTTATTTTATTTTTATTTGTTTATCTTGTGCTCTTAATAAAGACCAACGTACACATACATATATGGCTGCAGTTTCTTGTTTGCGTTTCCCTGTATAATGAAATTTTTTCTTATGATTAGAGTAAACCATCTCAAACTTTTGTTTTTCTTCCCTTCACAGGAACAATTCTTTTATTCGTTTGATTGTTGCTTGAATTTTTGTTGAATAACTTTTATAGGTCCTTAGGTTTGCAAGTTTATACTTGTAAGAATTTTTAACCAAGTATTGCGTATATGTTTATGTATGTATGTTTGTACATGTAGTGTTCTCTTGTTACATTTGTGGCATTTTATGTTTTCAGCATATAAGTCTTGGATTTCTATTTCTTTTCGGATGACAGTAACTGAAATACTTTCTTTAAGTAAAAAATAATAAAGAAGGAAACAAAATATCCAAATTCTTCGTCTGAAATTTATGAATATGTCCTTGAGGCAGCAAATTTGAAGTTTTAGCGTTGAATGACTACATCAGGTGGAATGGGAATTAATTTTAGGAACAAGACTTAATTAGTCCATTTCAAGTTTGTGAGAACTATGCGAAACCAAAGATAGGGTCTTTCTACCCCCAAATTGTTTTCAATGTATTTTTTCAAACTGAATTAATTTTATACAGTTCTTGATGTTGTATGCTTACACTTCACTAATGGTGTCCTTGTGTATTCACTTGTCGCAGGGAACAAATGGCACTCAACCTTCCAAAGGAAGGACGTTTGTCTCTTAGATCTCTCCGCAACGATGATCTTCACTTGGTTGACTTTTTAATACCAGAAAAGAACCGGGTCGAAGAATTCCCCTCCCAGATGTCACCTTTCAAACTTGCTGATAGCGGTGGAAAGAGGTCTTTGGATCAGTCTAAGGGTTCAAATAAGTTGGGATCCATTTTTTTGAGTAACCAATCGCAACATGACATGCAGTCACAGGAGCATGTCTAGAAGTGAGATACTAGCCGACTGTCGAAAGCTTGTAAATGAGATACTGAAATAGTACCCAGCGGGATATAACATGGGCTTATTCAGAAAATTGTTCTTTGATAGGTATAGCTACCACCTCGATTTGTATATTCTTGGGTAACAAAAGTTGGCAACCCCTTCTCTCACATGCTCGGAACAGAAGGCTCAGAAAATGTTTGATATGGAAACCTCCGTTTGATGTGAAATATTCTAACACTCAAATTAAAACCCTATGATTGTAATATATGAAAGTAGAGATCGTTTTAGGCCGGGGATTAGAAGGGCTGTTAATATACACAAATTAAACTCTAAAACACTAAACTAGACTAAAAAACACAAAACTAGACTCTTATAACTCAAAACTGACTCAAAGTACTTAAAACAATGATGTGAAAATTAACTTGACACACAAATTAAACCCTATTGATGACAATTGTAGTAATGATGCAAGTAGGGATCGTTCTAGACCGGGGATTAACTAGGGATGCTAATCAACACAAATAAGACTCAAAAACACTAAACTAGACTCTATAGACTCAAAACTAACTCAAAACACTCAAAACAACAAATAACAATAAAAAAGACTCAATTCTAGACCTAACAAGTGATTTGGACGAAAATAGAACTTTAAAGACTCAAAAGACTTAAAGGAAACAAGTTTTGACTCTAAAAACAAGACTTAAAAGCAAGGGGTTTGGTTTTGACGAAATTGAAATTTAAAACAGAAACTTTGAAAACAAACTTAAGAAACACGAATTTGGATGAAAAAGAATGGTGAAAGGCTAGTTAGAGGGTTCCTTCTCCACACATGAAACATATGCATACAACTCGATTTCCAGTTACTCTTTCAACAAACCATGAATGACAATGCCCCAAATTAACTAGATTGCACCAATTAATTCTCAGATTTCCCTAGATTCATTGAATTGAATGGAATACGCATTACAACCAAATTATTCTTATCAAGGACCCTAACTATGGAATACGCATGATAGAGACACATATCAAAGATCATTAAGTTCAATGGAAATCATAAGCATTGACGAGGCATTTATAACTATGGAATACGCATGTTACTCTTGCCAAGGATTTACTTAACACAATCGTGACTAGCGACTTTTACTACTTATGAATATAAGTTAATAACGATTAGGTGAAATTCCCTTATACTTTAGCATCAAATTCATGCATGCAAACTAAGTATGCATCCTTAATTAACACACAAAAACAAGTTATCAATCAAATAGATAAGTAAACCACATTCACGATTTATGAAATCATAACTGGATGAAATCAAGTCATATAAAACATATGATCATGCCTTTGAATTCCCTTCTAACTATAAAGAAATTAGTTCCTCATGTTCGCAAATAAACAAGGATAAATAACTTTAAACAATGACATAAAGATAGAAAACACTTAGAAACGCTCCAACAATCCAAGCTCCTTGAATGGCATGCACGGCTCCAAGAGTCTCCTTCCTTCTCCTTTGCAAACTCACGGCACAAGAGGGATGTTTGGGTGAATGGTGTAGTGAAAATATGGTAGAGGGTGGTGAGAATGAAAGGGTGCGGCACTACATATATATAGGCTGAAAATCACAGCCCCTAGGTAGCAAAGGAAAAGGATTTAAAGGCCTAATTTGCATAGGAAAATAAAACACAATCCTTGAAGGAAAACAAATCAGAAATCCAAAGGGAATGGGAAGATAAGGTGCGGCATTAAACTAGGAAAGGATAAGGGCTTCTAGAAACCAAAATCCCAAGGGAATTGGGTAAAAACTCACGGCACACATTGGAGGGAAAGTGGCAGAATTGCAATGCAAGGCAAAGGTCTTCTAGAAAGGTTCTAGGCGCCACTTTTGTAGGAAAGGATTAGGTCTTCTAGAAATCTGATTTTAAGCATCCTAATATAGTTAGGAATCCTCCCTTGCAGCTGAAATATAGGTGGATTAGGATTAGGATAAGATAGGATAGGATAAGGTTTGGATAATGTTTTGGATAAGGTTTCTTCACTTGAGCTGATTCTTTGGCTTTAACTTCCCTTCTTCAAGTAGGAAACCTTCTTCAACTAGGAATCCTTTGTTGACTAGGATTTCATCTTCAATTAAGCACTTTCCTACTTCAATTAGGAAACTTTGCATCTTCAATTCTTCAACTTTGAAACACATTCCTAGCTTCATCAATCCTTCAAATTCGTCCATTCTTTGTGCTCCACATGCATGAGCTCCATTCTAGCTCAATTTTGCTCCAAAATGCTCCAAATTGCATCTTTTTGCTTACTTTGTCCTTAAAACCTGAAAACACATGAAAATAGCTTAAAGACTAACTTAACTAAGAAAACACAACATAAATGCATAAGAACTAGCTAACTAAGGTGCATAAATATGCTCCTATCAAATTCCCCCACACTTAGCTTTTGCTAGTTCTCGAGCAAAACAAAGAAACAAAACGAAACGAAACAAAATATCAAAACATAACCTAAACCTTCCAATGTTGCCTCAAGGTTTCCCAATGCACATGACATATTAAAAATCATCATTCCCACAGATTTTAGTCATCTTCACACTTAAGCACATACTTAATCATAGTCACCACCAAGGTATTAAATATCGGTAATATCGGAAATATCGGTAGTTTGAAAACACGGAAATATCGACGGAAATATCGATAAAATATCGATATCGATAAAAATTACATGGAAACCACGGAAATTGTAAGAAAAACTTGGAAATTTTTATTGAAACTTTGCAGGATGTTTATTTAGTCAATTATCTATTAGTTTATCACAAAAAATTGGAAGGAAATGCATTGCATGATGGATTTAACATTATCAAGTTGATTATATAGCGAGCTGACAAACATTGTGAGTGTAGAAAATATGTAGTAATTAATCATTTATATATGTAGTAATTAATGAAAGAAGTTTAAACACACCATAATCATTTATATATAATGAATTAGTACAATATTTTACACTTTATATATTGCATGGTAAGATACATGAGTGACTTATTCTTATAACGGATACATATCAATTTTTTTTTATAAAAATTAATGGGTACAAACTTATTCTTATATTTATTTTTTATATATTTGAAATGTTTGAATTGAAAATTAATTAGGAGTTTAATAAGGATGTGAGTATTAAAACTCTAAATAAATTACTAATTTTTGTTATGAAAGTTATGTAACTTACATGTAATTCATTAATGCTAGAGACTTTGATCAAAATATAAAAACTGATAAGATCTTAGTAAATGAACATTAGAAACTAGGGATCGGATACTAATTTTTCTTTATTTTTTTTAAAATAATAATAATTTGGTTAATCACATTTTACATCATCTAGTTTCAAGAAAAAAGAAAACTGTTTGGTCAATTTTGAAAGCCATATCAAAATTTTGAGTGATATTTTTATCCAACGTGTTAATACAAAATCATATAGGCATAGTACATGATTATGTTTTGGTAATCGAAGACGCCAAAATGAGATGAACGGTTCTGTAGACATCGAAATTTCGGTAAATAAATGTTGACCGATAAATCAAAGTGTCAACGCTCATGTATTACATAAATTTTACACGTAGCGTGCGACTCAACGAAAATTGAAATGAGTTGGAAAAGTCATCAAATAGGACACGTGTCAACACCTGGCAGAAACGACTTATTTCATCTGGGATATTATATTCAAAATTAGGCCTTGGAAAATTCTATAAATACAAGCCCATTTCATTCATTTGGGGGAACCAAAAATCATTAGGCAAAACTCTTGAAGCTCCGAAGCTCTGAAACTCCGAAGCTCTCAAGCATCCAGGTTCCCGAAGAATCAAGAAAGCGTTCTTCAATCACCATTCTTCAAGATCAAGCCCAAAAGCCCTTGAAGATCCGTTCATCCTCGTTCATCCAAGATCAAGCCTCAACGGCCCTTGGATCAATCGCACATCCCACAAATACACACCTTACGGAGATCGAATCAGAGGATCAAAATAGAGAGAGATTGTAACCCAAAATCATCAAAATACAAATATTTGTTTGTGCACGTTGTTCTTGTCTCTTTCGTTTCAGGAATTTTCCGTGTTCACAAATTGGCACGCCCAGTGGGACAATCTCTGCGTCTCATCTCTTTCTCCGTTCAAGAAATTCAAGCGCACTTCCAAAATTAATGGCATCAATGAAGGCTCAAACTGTTCCCGCAACCGGCGTAAAGAACAAAAGAGTCATCGTCGCAACTGGCGTCACTTTGGGCATCATGACTCGAAGCATGGCAAGAGCTACTTCTGCCGCCTCTTTCACCTCTGCATCAACTCTGCCAAGGGAACAAAAACACCCAAGGCACGAGCCTTTGATCACCTTAGCCTCACTAAGGGCACCAAGGGGGGAAAGCCCAAGGAAATACTCCGAATCCATGCTCTCCGATGCTGATTCAAGCGACAGTTCAGCCATGCAAGTCATGACCATTGGAGCAACCTCAATCGATGAGCAGCTGGCTCAAATGAATGAAGCAATCGCAAGGCTAACCCGAACTGTGGAAGAAAAAGACTTGCAAATTGCAGCACTAGTCAACCGACTGGAGGCGCAAGACGGCGATAAACCCGACCCAGAGATGATCCACTAAAGGGAGGAGCTGGCGGAGGCGAAGAACCCCCGGTGAAGAAAATCGATGGGAAGCCGGAGCCGGACCAAGCAGCGGCACTCATGGGATCTCTTTCTATCCAGCAGCTGCAGGAGATGATCACCAACACCATCAAGGCACAGTACGAAGGGAGCTCACATACCTCCTTGTTCTACTCGAAGCCCTATTCCAAGAAGATTGATGCCCTAAAGATGCCGAGGGGATATCAACCACCAAAGTTCATGCAGTTTGATGGAAAAGGAAACCCAAAGCAGCACGTTGCACATTTCGTCGAAACTTGCAACAACGCGGGGACGGAGGGAGACTACCTCGCCAAGCAGTTTGTGCGCTCACTGAAAGGAAACGCCTTTGAGTGGTACACGGACCTAGAGCCTGAGTCCATCAATAGCTGGGAACAGTTGGAAAGGGAATTCCTCAACCGCTTTTACAGCACTCGCCGCACTGTGAGCATGCTAGAGCTAACGAGCACAAAGCAGTGGAAGGACGAGCCAGTCATTGACTACATCAACAGATGGCGCACTCTAAGCCTCGATTGTAAAGACAGGCTCTCGGAAACCTCTTCAATCGAGATGTGCATCCAAGGCATGCAATGGGGTTTGCAATACATCCTTCAAGGCATTAAACCACGGACTTTCGAGGAATTGGCCACTCGCGCCCATGACATGGAGTTGAGCATCGCCCATCATGGGAAGAAGGAACCAATCGCCGACTACAAGAACGACAAAGTTCTTGGGCCAAAGGTGGAGAAGGCTACGTGGAAATCCACCAAAGAAGCAATGACAGTCAACACAGCTCCCGTCAAAATCCCTACACGAGGCAAGGCGATTCAAAACGAAGCTTTTCATGATCAAGAGATGCGTAGACGCACTTTGAAGGAGCTTGAGGAGAAGACTTATCCATTCCCCGACTCTGATGTGGTTGCCATGTTAGAAGACTTGCTGGAAAAGAAGGTAATCGGCTTGCCTGAGTGCAGACGGCCAGAAGAGATGAATCGCACCGACAGTCCAAGGTACTGTAAATTCCACCGCTTCATCAGTCATCCGACAGAAAAATGCTTCGTACTGAAAGATCTCATCATGAAGCTGGCTCAGAAAGGAATCATCGAGCTAGATCTTGACGATGTGGCGAAGTCAAACTATACCACCTTCACTTCTGGCTCTTTCGACTCAAAGTTTTCACCTCAACCGCTGGGGGCATCCTCCAAGACAAGCAAAGTTGAAGGATGGACTCAAGTCACTCCTAAGAAATTGCACAAGAAGCATACGTCTCCTCCACAAGTCCGCCAATCGGAAAGGGGGCAAGGCAGCTCTTGTCAACCTTCAAAGCAACATGAACGTGTTGAAGATGATGAAACTTCGACACGAAGATCGTCCGTCCCCATCACGATGCGCGACTTCTTGCCCGAAGACTTCTTCAATCACGCGGTCAAAGCTCCTTGCTATGAAAATTATGAGGAACGCCTCTCCCGGATTGCTTGACAAAATTCACAAATTCTCCTCGCCCGCATGAGCCTAAACTGCATGGCACAATGCTCCTTGTTCGCACGAGCCTAAACTGCACGAACCAACGCTCTTGGTCTGCACGAGCATAAAAGGCAACACCAACGTTCCTTGCCTGCATGAGCTGAAACTGCAAATGGCACCAAAAAAAAAAAAAAAAAAAAAAATACCAAGAAAAAAATGTATTTGAACTACGTTTTGACTTGATCTCTTTCTTTGGAAGGGTACGTAGGCAGCTTGAATATTCAATTTCAAGTTCAGTCACATCAAAATAAAAATTAAATGTTTAATTAAAGAGAATCAATTTTATTAAAATATATATATATATATATATATATATATATATATATATATATATATTCTTGGTATTAAAATTTAAAAAAAAATGTATACATATTAATGTGGGTCTTCCTACACTTAAGACCCGTGCCAAATCAAATAAACACAAGTTGAAGTCCACAGAAAGGAGCAGCCCAAATGCCAGGCCCATCATCACTTGTGTCTCGGCCCAGCAGCAGAAAGCTCAATTCACAGGCCCAGTCCCACCACCTGCAGAAGACGGATCAGGTTGAGTCCAGAGACACAGAGACAGTGCAGAGCAACAGCAGCTGCGGATAAACCAATCAGAAAACCCGAGTCAGAGTTCCAGAGCCGACTCAGTTGAGTGAGAGAATGAGAGATGCTTCTAGATCTAGTGCAGAAGCAGCATCAGCAGCAAGATAACGATGCAAGGACTCCATCACCAACAACAGCAACTCGCGGCGTTTCTCTCCGTCGCCATCCCCAAGAACGATTCCGCCCTCGCCTGGGTCGACTCCGCCTACAAGATCCGCTCCCGGGTCGACAAGATCGGCGGCGAGAACCCCACGTGGAACGATCGGTTCCTCTTCAAGGTCCCGTTCGCATTTCTCTCAAGAGAGACCTCCCATGTCTCCATCCAGATCTACGCCGTCGGCTGCTTCAGCGATCACCTCGTCGGCACCGTCCGACTTCTGATCAACAACTTTCTCAACGTCGCGTCCAAGGTTCCGTCGGCTGCTTCAGCGAGACCTTCTGGAAGATTCCAAGGCGTGTTGAATGTGGCCGCGATGGTGATCGACGACTCGTACCTGGCTCCGGCGGTGAGCGAGTTGTCTGCGGTCGGGTACCACGACCTGATGGGAAAGGGAGAAAGCTTCCGGTGCCGGCGACGCGACATCATGAAGAGCAAATCGAGTGATTACCCCGGCAATTCGAAGGAAAACTCTTTCACTAAGTCGGCGGAGAACTCAGACGTCTGCGAGTCGGCGGCATCATCTCTGGCGACGCCATTACCGCCTCTGAAGGAAGTGAACACGATCACCGAATTGGCGGGAACAACAAGGCAGGTGTTGAAGGCTCGTCCAATGGACGGCTCGCGTTTCCTGTGTTGCTTGCTGACGCAGAGGAAGATGCAATACTGTCCGTCGGATGAGAACGCGGATGGAGCCCACAGCAGAGAAAGGAGGTGTCAGAGATCTGGCTGCCACAAGGGTGCTGAAGAACTTGACGGTGTTTGACGTCAGCTTCAACCAGTTTCTGGGGTCGCTACCGGAGACGATTGGAGGGATGGTGAGCTTTGAGTAGCTCAATGTGGCCCACAACTTGCTGTCGGGGAAGATTCCGGCGAGTATTTGTTCGCTGCCGAGTCTGCAGAACTTCACTTACTCGTATAACTTCCTCGCGGGTGAGCCGCTGGCGTGTCTGGGACTGGCGGGCTTTGACAACAAGAGGAATTGCTTGCCTGTGGATTGTAGTTCTTTTAGATGTAAGCCTTTTGTTCCGTCTTTGCCTACTCCTCACTCCACTCAAACCCGACCTGCTGCACATGGTGCGCACACCCGGAGCAAGTTAGGCTGCGCTCTCGGCATCGACTCCTTCCACCGCAGCGCCTGGCCTCCCTCGAGCTCGTCGCTATGACCACCATGATAGCAAAGAACTTCAAACGACCGCCGTCAAACGACTAGCCGGTCGTGAAGCTCGAAGCACCATCTTCTCCGTCCGCCTTCGTCCTTCCCTGCAAATTCCCCATCCCGTCATCAGAATTTATACAAAAAAAAATATAATTAAAAAAAAAAAAAAAAAAAAGGTGGTGGAGCAAAACAAAGTAATACTGTCACCACGTGAAAAAAAAGGGAGTGCATCAGGCACCATGTGCAAAGAAAAAAAAATAAAAAATAAAAAAAATAAATAAATAATAAAAGAATAAAAAATTTACATATAATAATTATAAAGTGTTTTGGGTGCTGGATCAACACCATTCTGAAAAAAGAAATATGTATATAAAAATGTTTAAACTTTGGTGCGGCTGGCACCATAATTAAAGGCAAAATATATATATGTAATAAATAATAATAATAAAAAAAAAATATATATAATAAATTAAAATTAAAAAAAAAAAAAAATCTGATCTTTGGTGCGTGGTTGTACAGCACCAAAAGAAAAAGAAATAATATATATAGATATATATATATAGATATATATATATATATATATATATATATATATATCTATATATATATATATATGTACATAATATATATATATATATAAAAAATTGCATTGAGAGAAATAAAGTCCATTTGATTTATTTTTCTGGAAATTTTGCATAAATTTGCATTATACATACCTTAAAAAAAAAAAAAAAAATCAAATCAAATCAAATTTACAAGAGGCGCTGGAGGTTGACTGTTTGAAGCCTCACCACTCGGCGGAACTCCAGGAAGAAGAGGAGCCAAAGGTTGATCATTCGGAGCTTCACTACGCGGTACAGCCCCAGAAGACGAAGGCAAATGTTGTTGGAACAAGCCCACAAACCTCCGATGATCAAGTAAAATCTGACCATCAGATTCCTGCATCTGGTCAATTTTCCTCTTCATGTTTGTGGCATAGTTGTGTGCGAGCTTGTGCAACTGTTTATTCTCATGCTTAAGCCCTCTAATCTCCTGTTTGAGACTCATCACTTCAGCCGCCAACGATTCAACTTGACGGGTTCGGGCAAATAGGCGTTGGGCCATGTTGGACACAGAACCCGCACACTGCACACTAAGAGCCAGAGACTCCTTAACAGCCAACTCATCAGACCGCCTGGAAAATAGTTTGTTATCTTTGGGAGTGACAAGGTTCCGGGCCACCACCGCAGCGGTCATATCATTCTTCATCATCGAATCCCCAACGGTAAGAGGACCTGTAGGGGATATGAAGGATGGGCGCCATATGTTGTCTGGAGAAGGCGGGACTACCTCTTCACCAAGATTCAAGTCAAAACGACGATCGGAGGGTCCTGACATTTTCAAAGTGTTGAAGAAAGAAGAGGTCGGACGAATCAAGATCTTAGAAGTGCAAGAAGGGAGTTTTCACAAGTAAAATTCAAGTGTGCTTTGAAACGAACAGCGTGCCTCTATAAAAATCAGCACTCGACGGGATTTCAGAGATCGAAGAGGCGAGCTCAGAATTCGAAGAGGCCATTCAAAAATCGAAGAGGAAAGCTCAGAAATCGGAGAAACATCTTGCTTTTCCAGACGCGTCGGCACCCGTCACACGCAAACTCAGCTTTACGAAAATCACGGGCAATTTGTCGAAACGCCGATCCCAGATATCGAAGAGGCGCCAGTCTTTTTCAGCCGCATCAACACCTGTCACATGCACACTCAGCTTGGCGGAAATTACGGACAATTTGTCGAAGATTTCTGATAAAGAAGAAAGCATGTGAAGCCATACAGATCAATCACGCATTGGTTGCCGACACGAGTGAAAGAATAGTACCTCTACAGGTATTAAAGAACTTCCTATAATTGTCTACCTTCGCCTTCCATAGCAAGGCAGACATACAGAGCATTTCTTCATCTCCAAAAAAATGCTTTCCCAACGAAGCCTCTCGAGTCATTCAATGTTCCTTATTCCTTGGGGTACCTCTGCAAGCCAATGACTTCAAAGCAAAAGTATCTCATATCACCAGGGTAGAAAACAAGAGTATCTCATATCATGCGTTCTCCCTGTCCTTTCCTTTGTCCTTGTTTTTACCTACAAAGACAAGGATAAAGAAAACAATATGCCGGAACTTCCACTCAAACTCGGGTAAGGAACCGACTGCTTGGAACCCTTCCCTGATTGCTTACCTAGCACTGCTCTCGAGTACTCGTTTCCCACTGCTGCTGTACTTCCAAAGAAGCTGCCACATCTGCCTGGAGAACAGATAAGGCAAGTGAAAATGATACCTTGCAGCATGTGGAGAAAAGGTGCAGAAGGAACAAGCAAAGAAGAATGCGGTCTGCACGGTCAACTCAGCAGAAGGAGTCCGAACTGAGGAACTCGAGAAGCTGCCACATCTGCCTGAAGAAACAAGCAGAGAAGAAAGCAGCATGCACAGTCAACTCAGCAGAAAGAGTCTGAGATGAAGAACTCGAGAAGGTGCTGCATCTGCCTGAGGACGGTGAACTATTTTTGACCCTCAAATTCTTGGGTCGACTTACTAGGCGTTGTGGGCTGCACGTGCCGATTCACCACCATTGAATCAAATCCTTAAAGACCAAGTCACCAACTGGAAGAAGAGCCCCATCAATCTTGAAGATCATACCGTTGACCAAACTGCTCAGGTGTGAATTAGAAAGATTGAACAAAGCAACAAGTCGTCACCTTCACCTCGTGCCTGCTTGCCATGTGTTCGAGTCAGCCTTCAAGAATCAAGCCTCAACGGCCCTTGAAGAAGCTTCCAGCCAAATTCAAAATCAAGCCTCAACGGCCCTAGAAGAAATCACAAGTCCGATTCAAGATTTAAGTGTCTACCACCCTTGAATCAAAACCTAGTTCAAGAATAAGCTGTGGAAAATCAACAATTGGAGGAATCCAGAAAATCCTTCAACCCAGTTCAAGATCAAAGCTGTGGAAAGTCAACAAGCGCAACAAAATACGTGCCGATTCACCCACTACCAAAGCCAAAGATCATCTACCACATGAAGCTCCTTGTGGTCCAATTTCAACCTTCAAGATCAAGCCTCGACGGCCCTTGAAGAAATTTCAAACGAAAGTTCAAGAACAAGCCTCAACAGTCCTTGAAGAAATCTCAAGCCCAATTCAAGATCAAGCCTCAACGGCCCTTGAAGAAATCTCCAGCCCAATTCAAGATCAAGCCTCGACGACCCTTGGATCGACATCTACAGTAAGGGACTTCAAAACGCATCTCATACACGCGACAAGCACATGTACACGACGCGACTTGAAGTGGGGGCATTTGTAGACATCAAAATTTCGGTAAATAAATGTTGACCGATAAATCAAAGTGTCAACGCTCATGTATTACATAAATTTTACACGTAGCGTGCGACTCAACGAAAATTGAAATGAGTTGGAAAAGTCATCAAATAGGACACGTGTCAACACCTGGCAAAAACGACCTATTTCATCTGGGATATTATATTCAAAATTAGGCCTTGGAAAATTCTATAAATACAAGCCCATTTCATTCATTTGGGGGAACCAAAAATCATTAGGCAAAACTCTTGAAGCTCTGAAGCTCTGAAACTCCGAAGCTCTCAAGCATCCAGGTTCCCGAAGAATCAAGAAAGCGTTCTTCAATCACCATTCTTCAAGATCAAGCCCAAAAGCCCTTGAAGATCCGTTCATCCTCGTTCATCCAAGATCAAGCCTCAACGGCCCTTAGATCAATCGCACATCCCACAAATACACACCTTACGGAGATCGAATCAGAGGATCAAAATAGAGAGAGATTGTAACCCAAAATCATCAAATACTTAATATTTGTTTGTGCACGTTGTTCTTATCTCTTTCGTTTTAGGAATTTTCCGTGTTCACAGGTTCTACTTAGGTAATTATAGGTTTTTAATTACATTGATGATGTAGTAAATATAAGACTGACGTAGAAACGTCACTTCCACCATTTAGACTAAATTGTATGATTGGTTTTCCTTTCATGTTACTAATTTGAATAGAAGCCAAAGCTCTACGATGACGAGTTTTTGTTCATATGTGCTAGTTTGGTTTCCCTCGTTAGCCCACAAATAAATCGAATGATAAAATGTAAAAAGAATATCCAACCAATCTAAAATTTAAAAATACATTAAGTCATATAACTTAAGATATTTTGAATGGTTATATTTAACTTTTTAAAATTAAAAGTAAAAATCATGGTTGGGTGGGTGGTTGAAATTGAAACTTTGAAAAGGTGCAGCATGCTTCCCCATTTCAGCACCACGTGTGTGGTGTGACCTCCCCTCCATCCCGATTCCCCATCCTTCACATCTATCTTCTCTCTCAGTCCTCTCTTTCTCTCCACTTTCCAGGCTCTCCCTCTCTCTGCTTCTCTCCCTCAGTCTCTTCTTCTCTGCAACACACGCACAGACCACACACGCAGACCACACACGCACACACCACACACGCAGTCTCGCCTTCTCTCCCTCAGTCTCTCCGTCGTCCGTCCATCCTTCTCCCTCAGCCTCGATCTCGATCTTTCTCTCCCTCAGTCTCTCCGTCCGTCTATCCTTCTCCCTCAGCCTCGATCTCG